CAAATTCCGCTCCCTGTTTTAGTAAAGGGTTGACATCAAGCCAACTAAGCATCGGCCGGGTATTGGGTGTGCTTAGATGGTCTGGGAGGAATCGCCAAGTGGTTAGTAACCCTAGGTGTAACCCAGTTACCATGGTTGTAAGTCCCCGCGAAAACCAGGATTCTCAACCAACCCCCCTGTTTTGTTTTTTGGTTTGTAGCCCTAAACATATGAGCAGCGTTTTTTGTTTTTTGTCAGATGATGGATTTTAGCTTCGTGGGGAACTCCCAAAAAGTCTGCGAAGCCGCTTGTGTGATACATCGTGTGCCGCGAAGCCCCGCGAAGCCAATTCGGGTATCCCAGCAACATTGACACAGGCGAAGCCACTTTGCGAAGCCACTTCGTGGTTGGAGTGTGTTATGTGCTTTCATGGTAGTATAATGCGAAAGGTTGATGTTGAGAGTCATTTTCAGATGGCCGCCAGAAGGCTATGACAAGACTACAGGAAGATTACAGTCAGACTGCCGGAAGAGTGTGGGAAGACGACAGGAAGACGACCGGAAGAGCACTGTGCGTTTCAGGCCCGGTTTTGCTAGAAACGATGGAACGTTTTCCTGTTGTGGAACAAGCAAGCCTCGCGAATCCTTCCACGAATTCTGGCCCTGCGAAGCCCCCCGCAAAGCCTCCCCAAGCAGCGTATAAGCCCTGAACCTCTAAAATCCAATGCTCCTGTGGGTTGAATCCTTTTTTATGGGTTTCAGGGTCGAGGTAAATCGATTCGTCCCAGAACATCCAAGGGGCTTGCCAAGCACTGAGAACCAACGGAAACTGAAAGGAGTCTGTCGACTCAGGTACTGAGTCTGGCGAGCGCTTCGCCATTCCAGGAAGCTCGGCAGATGGGTCTCGAAGCGAAAAGGTAACCTCACTCACCTTTTGGGGCTTGGACCATTACATAGTACAACAGTTTTTTTTGGTGGCTCCCAGCCACCCCCTTAGTTTTTTAGCTTTTTAGTGTTTAGTGGGTTTTTCCATTTAGCCCACTAAAAGCTAAGCTTTTAGCGGGGGATCTGAGGACAGGCTAAGTTTGGACGTTTCAGGTGTTCCCAAGTTCTATTTCGGGTTTTAGTCACTTTATGAGCCTGGACCATTTTAAAAAGGTCATTGCACAAAATCAATAGGTCATGCGCCCATGTTTGAAGGGTCATGGAGACTCCAGCGAAACCAATTTAGACTTTTTCGGCTAAGCCAGTCAGAAAGTGAGGGCTGTATTGGAGTTTGCGGGGTGGGACTACCGTCCCTTTGCATCGGCCCGTGCAGGCGGAGATTTGTTTCGAAGCTGAGTACATGACGTCAGGTGAGTCACAGTCAAAACCCGGGTAAGTGAAGGTTAGTAAGGGCCAATCCCAACCATAAATAGCTGCTGCCGCCTTCTTAGTTCTTGAAGCATGGTTCTGGGTCGCCCATTTTAATACCGGGTTTTCATTCTGACTCAGATCCTTTTTTTCAGCGACCCATGGAAGGTAGCCCAAATAACACGTCGGGAGATGCTCGCAAGTCCTCTCAATTGCACGGGAGAGGTGTTACTTGGCCACATAGATCATGCCCTTACTTAAGGGGAACCAGCCCTGATCAGTATGGTCCTCCAGATTGATACGAAGTTGACCTTACCGTGACGACTAACTACTGCTACCCCGGTTACACCATGTTGTCAGTTACACGCCCAAGCTCCCCCGCTCCCCTCTCCGCAATAAGGCCTGGTGCGGTCTTGTTTGCGGGGAACAAAGGTTGCGGGGGGGAGAGGGAAAGCAGTCCTGTACAAGCCCCAACCTTTAGAAGACGGCACGTGAACCACGGTCCAAAACATTTCGCTAACCCCTAGGCCCTGGGCCCTCTTGTTGCTAGCCCCCGAATTCGGGCAGAGGGGTGACCTCCACGTGAAGCTGTGCTCCGTCATGCGCGCCCCAGTTACCCAATAGAATTCACACATCCCTGGAGCCTCCTTCTGACCCTTACAACATGGGTCGATGAACCCATCATTTGGGGTCACCTCATTTTTGAAGGGTCATGGAGACTTCAGGCCGTCTTAGATGGGTTCCCTTGACGTCTTGTAGAGGTTCCCGTCAGGTCTTGGCTCTAGGATCTCCATTTTGGAAGCGCAATGGACTCCCCCGTCTACTCTTTTTTCTCTCCGTACCAAGGGGACTTTGGAGCATGGTTGAAAACGCAGTTGGGACGCGTAAGAATTATGTTCTTGATGTTTCCCCTGTCGGTGCTAGAGGGAATCTATCACTACTGTTTTTTTTCTTTTCTTTCTTTTTTTTCGGGGGTGGGGGGTGGGGGCGCGCGGTGCTGGAGCGGTCCGTGTTTGTGAGGCTCGCTACCCCTGAGATGGTGTTTAAATGGGGACGAGAAAGCTGCCAGTTGGCTATGGGTCAGAACCCTGGTGGTGCGGTGAACACCCAGAACGCCTTCTAAAAAAGACAGCAGTGGAGTGGTAACCATCCACAAACAAGCACCTTAGGCTTTGACTATTGGGGTTTTGCAAAATAAATAACCCAACCATTTTGGTATGGCTTCGGGGAACCCAAAGGGGAAAATGCACCCCAACATAGAGGTCCTTTTTTGCTTTTGAGCACACACCGCCACACGCACAGGGTTAATTCGTTGCCAGAGGCTTCCAGCTGCGTCCGATTCTCAAGGCTTTTTTTCTAGACTTTCTTCCTCAGTTCCTGCACTTTAGTCACTTTTTGAGACCATGCTAGCGGTAAACAATACGGCTCAGTTTTTCTTTGGCCAATCAACACATGAGTAGAGGATGTACGCAACTGGCAAGTCCTTTCCGATTCGAGTCCACAGGTGGGGCACGACTTCAAGGACTTGTGCTTGGGGCACAAGCTGGCAGCCGCACAGGTCGATCAAGAGTCCTTAAGCATGTTCCACTTGAATGTCCAACCAACTTAGCAAGTAGGTTATACAAACCACTTTGTATAACTTGGATAGCCGGGGTTGGTGCCCTTATATCCCTGGTCATAACTTACTAAGTTGGTTGAACATCCAAGCACTCAATGGAGGCAAGCCATGATTTAGTTGGTGACCAAGGGAAGCCATCATGTAAACCATGCCAGTTACAGCAAGAACAAGAGCGGTGACTGCATGCTTTGGATGCGCCACGGGCAAGAGACCTGCATACTTGGGGTTAATAAGCTAAGCCTCGACACTTTTCGACCAACAATCAAATCAAAGCCACCGGTTCTTCCGCGGGCGCTTAAGCATTGCAGAAAGGACTCATCTTCTCACTCCCTGACTTCCTGGACTTCGAAGCTTTGGGAAGACAATTTTAGTGGCAAACAACCAGTTTTTTGTTTGTTTTTTTGTGGCTAGGCTTTTTAGCAATGGCTTTTCCATTGAGCCTGCCAAAGGTGAACGACCTGTTCCATGGCCCCATAATTTTGGGTAATGCCCCCATGTTTTAAGGGTCGGAAGGAGACTCCAGATACAAACAGCCCATACTTCTAGGGCTTGATTCCGGTTCCATTCTTTTCAACCATGGTTCTTTTCAAGATCCGGCCGCTTTCCCTGGGTTTCCAGAGGTTTTCTGGGAAGAGCAAGGATCTTGCTGGTTTTTTTTCAGGCTGGAGGACGGGTCGTTCCTTGGAAAAGGGGTTCTTGCCCAGAGGGTCGCGTACCTCATATGGCGAGTCTGCAATTGGCGGATTCCTTGAACCAACGCCGCAAATATTGGGGTATTTGGATGTTGAATCCACTTAGTAGGTTATCACCATGGTTATAAGTAGGCCTAAGTGGGGTTGGTCCTCATAACTATGGTTACAGCCCACCTAGACTCTCCATGACAGTTTAACAATGGGTCCATGACCCCATTATTTTGGGAACTGCTCCCATCTTTTAAGGGTCACAAGGAGACTCCAGGTACTTACCTGGATTGAACATCCAAGTGGCTGTGGGTCAAAACCAATGATATCCCATTTTGGGGTTTTCGGTGCACCACCCATTTTAGAATCTATTCTAGTGGTACGATTTGGCTTTTGACCCACAGCCTTAGCCTCCTTTTGCTTAAGTCCCCTGGAAAAAAAAGAAAAACAAGAGAAGAACAAAATCAATATTTCCAGCAGTCATAGATTTCGTTTAACACCAGGAGAAAGTCATCCCATGGCCATGTCTGGGCAAACCCCATGGCCACTTTTATCTCGGACCATTTGGGCTGGGTCCCGCGGTCCAGGATGAGGTGAATGAGGCGATTGCCAATCTCCGGCGCATCCTCGACGAGGAATCTCGATTTAGGTGAGAGCTTTGGTCAATGGGACTTAGGGATGGCCCCCCCTTTTTTTTGGCGCATTTTGCCAAGGGATGTTAGGACTGAATGACTTTTTGCCAACTCATGGGTTTTCCGTATTAAGCCACTAAAGGTTGGAAACTTTTAGCAGGGGAGCAGAAAGCAACCGAGTTTTTGTGGTAGGTTTTAAAGGGAAGCCGAAAGGACACTAATCATTTTAGGGGACACACCCATATCAGGGCTAAATAACTAGAACCATGATTTCCTTTGTTTGTTGGTTGTTGTTGGCATACCAAGGTGAACCTCAACCACATTGGTGTTATCACCAGCTTTCACTTGCCCGCAACAAAAGTGTCGTGCACTTTCACCAATCTTACGTGTGCCTCAAACTGTTTTTGCCTGTATTATGTTTGTCATCCCTATATTGCCCTTGCAGGGTGGTCGTAAACATCACCTCTTGGGCCCCTGCAAGGCGAGTTTTCTGTGGTGGTGATGTTTTGAAGGGACACATAGGGAACCCTCCCGCCTAATTGGGGGGAGGGGGGCGCTCCTTGGAACCCGATAGATTCCATGTCCCTCACAAGTGGAACTGAGGGTCCGCCCCTACGCGCCTGAAGGTCGTGGTTGCTGTTTGGCTTCAGGAGCATAGGTGTCCTTTTTGGTTGGCTTGCCTAAAACATAGAGGGGTTTATTTCATTTACCAGGGCCATCTATTTTTTCAAAAGTCCACATGTTCAGGAGCGTCAGCCCCGCTTTCCGGCGGACGTGCCTCACTCCTATGAGGAGCTCGGCCGAAGTCGGGGCCGCACGCCGCCAGTGGCTTCGTTTTGGATCAAACGATCGGGTGCGTTCCAAAGAGGCAGTCATATGATTGTTGTATCATTGTTGCCATTATCATCAATAGTATTAGCTGTTTCATCATGGTTGCGATGCATCATTCAAACTTGGTCCCTTTTTGCCCAAGCGTGCGACCTTTCCGTTCCCGCATTTGTCTGTGCCAGTGAGTGAGCGTTTCCCAACAAGGGGGAGGCACAAAACAAGGCGTTTCCGTTTGTTTGCTAGAACAAAAATATGGAATGCCTCTGACGTGCAGGAAACATTACGTGATACAAGAGAGAATCCCTCCATGCGAGCTGCCTGAACATGTTTCTATAGCATGCGAAAAATTCGCACCGCAAGTAGCCCCGTCTTTGGACTTCCCATGGAGCTCTTTAATGTTGACCCAGGATTAATAAACCCGTCCCACTTTTATTTGTTTTTCCGGGGGGTGGAAACCCCTCCAAAAGTGGTCTGAATCCAACCACTAGGAATTGGACACCCCCCGATCAAAATCAACCGATCGGGGTTCTGCTTAATCCTGGGTTAACATTACATGGTTTCTCAAGCGGATTCCCTTGAACCTGTTGTCTCCTAAAGGCGGTGTTCGTCGAAGCTGCGAAGAGCCCAGCTGTGTGCTGGATGGGGGGCTCTTTGCGTGTTGGTTTCTTTGGGTGGATTCAGCTGTCGGCTTTCTTGGTTTGGCGGTTTGGTGGGGGCTTCCCATTTTCCCACAAGAACCAGGGGTTCCTTTATCCAAATCCAAACCACTTCAAGCCACCAGCCCAGGGTTACCCGATGGATGGTTAGAGAACCTCGACTGGCTGAAGCGAAATGCTGAAACGAAGGCCTCGTTTTTCACCCAGTTCCAAGCACTGGCCGGCAGCTGATTCCACCCCTTCTTCAACTTGTTTGGGGGGCTTCCAGCTAAACTACACTACTGTGGATGGACGAAATCCTGCACCACCTAAGAACTTTTGGAGTGATGATTCCCTTGCAAATACCAACAAAGAATGGTTGCCCATGGTTTTAGAGTGGTGCAGGATTTTGTCCATCCACACTATCATCCGAGCTAAGTAGGGTTGTTTGTTTTTGGAGCGCCTGGTACAAATGTTTCATCACCCTAATTGCGGTAGGTTGTTCACAAACAGTTGCCAAGTATACAATTTGCAGGGGGGGTTCCATTGTTCGAACTCATCCGCGTACTGCTTTGACTGCTTCTCCGCAGGACAAGTACTTGTCGGGTGTCCCAGCTGACGTCAAGACAGAGCTCTTTTTGTTCATGCATACTCATGCCATGCAGAGGGTATGGCTGTCAACCTTCAGCTGGCATGATGGGGACTTTTTTCAGAATGGTGGACCCCTTGTTGAGGCGTTGTAAGGGGAAGTCACAAGGACTCATGTTTTTTGTGTTCCCCAATGTCTCACTCCCTGATTTTGTGGACTTGATGCTTGTTGGGGCTGGACCGTTTTAGTGGTAAACCAAGATTTCCGAGTGTTTCTGTCCAATCCGCGCAAGTGAGGAAACCCGAAGGAAACGTACACCATTTTGGGTGTCTCTCATGACTTCAGAAATCCCCAGATGGCTCTCCTGAGTTAACTCAAGTCCTGCTTCTCCACAGCCGTCGGCAAGCAGTCCGGAAGGACCCCTCTTCTGGTGGGTTTCGTCAGGAAAACTAAGTAGAACACCGATTTGGGGGACCCTTTCCAGCTTGTTTTTCACCACCAAAATTGTGGGGGGGTTTCCAACCTTATAAAAAGTCACATGGCCGTGGGTCAAAACCAATGGAACCATCTTGGGGTAGGTGAATTCACCACCCATTTTAGTCTATTTTAGGGGATTGGGATGTTCACTGGGGGTACGATTTGGATTTTGGCCCATGGCCACATCATTCCATACTGCAAGTGACCTGAACCACATCCAAGCACAACACTCGTGGCTGAGGTGGATTCCCCAGCCTTTGCCCGGAAACGACCAAGGGGGCGGGGTTCCAGAAGGCGCTTTTGATGGGAGTTTTGTTTTTTGAGGCTCGGAATCCTGGTTTTGGGCTTTCAAAAGGAAACCAACAGGACACCCAATCCTTTTCAGGGTTCCGTATGCTGGTTTGACAGGCAGAGAATGAGAAATGGAATGAGCCCGACAAACCGTTCCTTGTGGTTTCCTTCAAGGGCACCCCTGGGTTTATTTCCAAAATAGGTGATTTCCAGCACGTATTTTTTCAGACGCCCAAATTGTTGTTTCCCCCTTTTGGTTTAGTGGGTCTCCCCTTTGAGATGTGAAAGCAGGTCCTGTTTTGGTATGGGCGCTTAGCACCTGGGGGTCCATGTCAATCTGCTCATGCTGGAGGAGTGGGGTGCCAGCTACACATAATATAGATCTGAATAAACATGTTCATACATACACACGTATCACTATTTGCGACAATATGCGACTACCTGAATTGCGCAAATATATGTACGTTTATATATATATATATATGCATTCATGAGTCGCCCGTGTTTTCCCGAATGAAGGGGGTCTTGTTGTTGAGGGTATCTGCTTTGGGGTGTTCAAGGGACTGCATGGTTTAATTGTGAGCACAACTGCGAACCAAGCCCATGTCTAGTAGGCCCTTGAGTGAAGAGGTTGCGACAGCAATTAAGGGGAGGGTTTGTTTCCTGGACGCCAAATTCTGGTTTAAGGTTGGTCTATGTTAAAACGTGCCCAGAGATTTATTGGGTATGTGTGGGTCAATTGTTCAAAAGTCATGAAGACTGGCAGACATGAGTTGAGGGGCCCCCTGTTGGGCCCCGCGTTGGTATTTAAAGGGAAAGGAAAGGGCATCAACTAATTTCGAGGGCTTGACGTCACACTCTTTCAACACACCAGTTGCTTCCCCCACGTTTTTGATGGCTTCCTGCAAGGATTCGGGTTTTCTGGGTTCAGACTGCTTGGACGCTTCCCCGAAAACACCCCCAAGCTCCGCGATGAATGTCCTTCCGCTCGGAGGCTGGCAGAGCTAGCGACCTCTGCGGCCGCCGCCAGTGTGGCTGGAGCACTCAGGGGTGTTTGTTCAGCTGTTCTCGGTCGCATCAAGCGGATCAATATTTTGACATGTTTTGACTTTGTTGGTCCTGTCTTGAAACGATTTCAGGCAAGAGTCCAAAAGCTCAAGCGTCCACTTCCAGCCCCATTGGACAAGTGAGAGAAATAGCAGCAAGCTGCGTTGCTTGAATGCCCTTTTGCAATGGGCGCAAGTGGGAGAGCAAGAGGTTATTAGCGGTTGGAAATGAATGTTATTAACAAAGTTCAAAGTTCATGAACACATCATGGGTAAGCCGTCAAGAGCAGGCAGGCTGCGGCAGTTCTTGCAGTGGGGTTTGTGTCGACTGTACTAGCTTGCTTTCAGCGGCGACTTTTCAGCCAGTGGGGCTCGAAAGCCATGTTGTGCCGATTCTACGACCCGACCACAGGGCGTGGCTGCCGCAATGGCAGTCTTTGTCCCTTTCAACACGGGCTTGTTCCTGGGTCGTTTGACAACCGTGCTCTGTTCGAAGCGCCGCGCCCCCGTGTGTGCGCATTCTTCCAGTCGGGTACATGCCGGAATGGAGAAGCGTGCCACTTCCAGCATGTCATGCAAATCGCGCCGTGGCAGCCCGCACAGGAAAGAAAGGCTTGCATCCTCTTCTTGGGAAGCGGATGCAAGAACGGGCCGGCGTGCCCTTTCGTGCACAGCTCCACCGAAGTGTCCAGCACTGGCTCGAACGTGGTCTTTGTTGGGAATCTCGCCAAAAAGGCGGGGAGCAACAGGGCTTCGGAAGACAATGGCACTGTACTATTCACTTACTTCGCCAAGTTCGGTACCATTATCCGAGCTCATGTTAAGGAGGATCGGAGCGGGCGCAGTCGTGGTTTCGGCTTTGTCGTTTTTAGTACTGCTGAGGCCGCTGAGGCTGCGGTGGCGCAAAGACACCCGAGCTGGGTCGTGTGTCTCAAGCACGACATGAATAAGCGAGACGCCCTCGAGCTCAATCCCAAACGGTTGCGATTCACCCATAATACTATCTCCTACTGCTTCCGCAACGGAACCTCTCTCGACAAGGCCATCCAGGATGTACTTGATGGCCGCTCGAAGTTCGAAGACTTCTACCGCTGGAGGTTGTGCGCAAGAAACATGACCGCTACTATTCGCTGTCGATCCGTCGGCTGTTCGTTGCTAAAGTCCTGGCGAGCATGGGCAAGCTATCTTCGGTGAAAGTGACCGTGTTGGGTGACAAGGATAGCCGCGTCACAAAGATGAAGCACGGTCGGTCTAAGTGGGAGAGGTCTTTCCGGACGCAGAACAACGGTACAAGGGTTTCCTATCCGAGCATGTGCGGTGTGTGCAAGCGCGTGCATGGGAGCAAGTTTGTGAAGGAAGAGTTTGCGGAGTTGCGTCGGAGTAGGCGCGACGAAGAGGAGATGGAGGATCTTCATCGTGATTGCATCCGCAACTTCGATTTGTCATTGAGGGATGACTTTCCGGAGTACTTCGGCGACTCTGACTCCAGCTACGGCAACTATGATGGCTACGGTCATGACGATTGTGAGCCCGACGATTATGACCCCCATGATTATCTCGATTATGAGCCCCCGGAGGACCGGTACGCATAGGATTCAATTTAAAATGACGGAATGCAAAAAGCGTCCATGATTTCTGACAGCACAGCACCATGATTCTTGGCTGTTCCCAGACATCCGGTTCCTTAGCTTTTTCGGCTACTAGTTGATTGTGGTCGGATTTCCATATTGAACCCACAAGTTAGGCTTGTTTGCGCCAGGATATGAAAATCTTGGGGTGGGCGCCATACTCTGTGGTTGTTTCTGAAAGGGATCCCCTGCTCCCGACTTTCCCTGGCAACAAAACGAGGGTTCACCATCCGAAGCAAGTCCCAAATGAAGAAGTTGTCCAGTACCCACGTGTGCAAATAGCTGCAGAATGGACCCAGAAATGGTGGTGTTCCTTTTGGTTTCCCTTTGCGCCACGACAAACACTGGCCAACCATTTCAGGGTGTGCTGTTGGATCATAACCCTGCATACCCTCCCACAAATAGGGCTTCTGTTAGATCTGTTTTGAAAAACAATCAAGTATCGGGAAACCACTCGTTCCGCTGGGCGCCTTCCAACACATGCTGGGTACTCAGATGTTCTGGGACGAATCGCTAAATGGTTAACAATCCTGGTCTTCTCGGGGACTTACAACCATGGTACTTGGATTGCAACTAGAGTCAGAGTTACTAAACCACTTAGCTAAGTCCCATGCCATCTAAATACTGCTCGGTCCAGATGTGTTCCCAGGGAGCCCCGCGTACGTCGAAGTTAGGTGCAGCTCCTGCTGATGATGGACACTTCGCCTCTGCCAGCCGTGTCAAGAGGCCTTCTCAGTGACCTTCCTTCATGATTAGTCAACTAGGGGATTTGGAGTTCCCATTAGACGAACTGTGAAGTCGAGTCTGAACGTGTGATTTTCCATGTTTCCCCCCCCCCCCAAGGGGTTCTGGACGAGTTACGGGAAAAAACAGAAGAACAACAACAACTGTTGAGGGGATATCACCTAGGCATTTTTATTTTGGGGCAGGCTAGACATGGATCAGAATCTGAACATAATACGTTTAGTGTTCCCAAGAGTTTGAGCCAATAATTGATCCACAACTTACTTCTTGAGTTTGCAAACTGTTTTTTTTCTTAGCAGGCTTCTTGTTTATTTTAGTCGAGGCCCAACCAACGGAACATTTTCTCCGGCCAAGTAATTCAGCCCGGATCATCACAGCCCCCGTCGGTGACCTGAGGAAGAGTTCCAAGGCCTAAGCAATGCAGTTGTCTTGTTTAAGGGTACCCTCTTCACGTTTCAAAGAGAAGCCGGGAAAACCATCGTTTTGGTTTTGCCTGTTTTGACCCGTGTATTCTTTACATGGTTTTGTCGACCCCGTACTGTGCGTTGATTGTGACTCACGCAGAAGAGGTTCGTGGCCCGGACTTGATGAATCAATTTTCGGATCCGGCAGCCATCCATGAGAACCTCAACCTGTTCTAGGGGTACCTCCCATTTCCATTCTGAACCCAGGGATCCGAATCTTTCTAGAAAACCACCAAGAACCTAGGGAAGTGGCTGGTTTTTTTAAAGAACGATGGTTGAACAGAATGGACAAGGAATCAACCCCTAGAACTGTTGCGTTTGTCGCCGACGTTCATTTTCACCGTCATTTTTTGTTTTTAAGATTTGCAGAACAAAACCCGTCGCGCTGGGCGTAGTAGTGCGCCATCTGAGCCCAATACCCGTTTTTTAGGGTATGATGTCAACCCTTTACACGGAAAGAGGTGTTTACCCGGGAACACCAAACAGTTGTTTTCCCAAAGATACTAAAACGGCTGGGTATTGGGAGCTTACGGCTGGGTAACCGGGGGATCCTAAATGCCCCTTGGTTCTGTGGGCTCTTCCTTCGTTCGGCCCCCTTGAGCAGTTTGTAGCTTCCCAGACGCTCCTGGCCCTAAATCAATCGGGAGCCTCTACCCGCAAATGGTGTTCAACTTGTGGCGTTGCTTGAAACCAAGTTAAACAACGAGTCGCAAGGCTGCATTTTATCAAACGTGATCCCAATAGAACCCATTTGTGGGGCAGCCTAGAACGCATTTGATGGAACCCATTTGCCAATGAACTTTAGAAAGGAAGCACCTCAAAGGAGGTTGGCGGACGTGACTCTCCACTTAAATGATGTCCACCAAACGGTCCCGAATTGAAACTTATGCCCATGTGTTGGCTTCCCTAAAACGGGTTCAACAGACAAGACCAAGACACTAGACACACAAACACAACAAAGAACCACCTGAAGTCTCCATGACCCTTTAAAAAATGGGGTCAGTAGCATAAATAATGGGGTCAGTAGCATAAATAATGGGGTCATGCACCCATTTTTAAAGGGTCATGGAGAGTTTAGGCAGACACACGCTCCAAAACCAAAGGAAACAGCGGGTCGCCAAAACCTCCGAAACCGGGCGCCGGGTTTTCCACGTGCGCCGCTCGCATAGGGCTGCTGGGCTTCTCCTCCTGCGTCAGCTGCAGCTTCCTGCGCACGGAGGAGAAGGAGGTGCAGGCGGAGTCGATGCCAGCGGAGTCGAAAGGGAAGGGGGGAGGGGGGTGCTTTGTTGACCCCGGATTAGTAAACCCCTGGTTGATGAAAAGGGGGGTAGGGAACACCCCCCTCTGAATGGGACAGGTTTATTAATTTTGGGTTAAAATTAATGTTGACAATATAGAATCCAGTGATGGGTTCCTTTTAAAACCAAGAGGGGAACTAATATCATTTTGTTTCAGCAAATGGAAGTTTAATGTTGACCCCATATCAATCAACCTGTGTATGAATCCTTTTACCAACTTTTTGGGGGGAGGGTTGCCCTACTAAAATAGACTACAGAAAAAAGTTGTTAGCCTTACTCTAACCTCTCTACTGGAGGACCTAGAATAGGGTGGTGTTCCACTCCCCCAAATAAGGAGAAAACAAAGTGGGAAGTCCCTGGGTGCAAGGTGGAAAATGTATAAATCAACAAAGCCCTGGTTCTTGTCGCCGTCCGGTTCCTTGGCGTTGTAGGTAGGGTAAACGTTAAACTTTTGGCAGCCCCACCAGGCATTTCCCGCTTAGTGGTTTAAAGGGTGGCAAGCCCCCCATCAGGCAACCCTTGGCTGTTGGTTTGAATTGGTGATTTTGGATTGGTGGTTTGGGCGTAAACGGATCTTATTAGAAAATGGAAAATTGGAAACCCAATGGGTTTCAAAGGGAAAACCAAAAGGAACGCCACCATTTTGGGGGGATCATAAAAAATACAACATCCACATCATCTTTGCCTTGTTGTTGCCAGTGGATGGCTACCGCACTATACAGGTAAATGGATCCCCCGGGTTGGCGGTTCCCAGCCGTCCGGTTTCTGCTTGTAGGGTTTAGCAGGGGATCAGAGAACGGACAGTGACCCCAGCTATGGGTAGAGGGGAAACCCGGAATCACCGAACTGTTGATAGCTTTTGCCAAGCACGCAAGTCGTGCCTGACTTTATATGTGGACATTGGAAAGGCATATCAAACTCAGTCAGAAACATCTGGTGGTGGGAGCCTCGTCTGGAAGCGCCACTGGCGGACGTCCTTGCGAAGCTTCGGACAAGTCAGAGGCTTTGGCCTAGCGCACACCCTGGCTGCCTGGGTGCGTGAGGGCCTGGGCAACGCTTGCCCCCAAAGTACTCCAAATACATGTATATTTTTGCAAGGGCGTTTCTTAGAGGCCTGGCTTTCCCGAGGACATACCGATCCCTTTTTAGTAAAGGGTCGACATACCATAGAAAAGGTGGGTGTGGGGTGCTTCGGCTGGGGCACTGAAGCCTTGAAGGCAGTTCTGCGGAGCTGATCATGCTTTTTGGTGGGGAGAGACCTCCCAGTGGCATGGCCAGTTGGGTCAATGCTAGGTCCCCCCAGCTAGGTGCCCTTTTACCAACTGCCAGCTTTTTTTCCGGGGAGGGTTCCCCTACTAAAATAGACGACTCAAAGAAGGGTACCCTTATTCTAAGCTCTCTACTGCAGGACCTAGTCAATGACTCCAAACTGGTTCCAACTCGTGTCCGATTGAGCAGCGCCCAACTCCCCCCGCCCCCCCCCCCACACACAAAAGGAAAGGAAGGAGGCCATTGCAATAGCTGTTTTCTACTGCCTGGGTTTCCATCTTAAAACCAAAAGTCAATGAGTGAAACGGGCGCTGCTCAATTCTCCTTGAACCTGTTATTTTTCTTCCATGTGCATAAGAGTATGTTTTGTTTCCGCGGTTGATTTTATGGGGAATCTGTCACTGCTGGAAATATGTCTATTGTTTCCTGGGGACTGCAAATGGATGAAGTTGATGTGTATTCTGTTGCCTCTTCCTCACCACAAGATGCCCGAACTGTTGGCCGGAAGAGGAGAACGTCCCTATAGGTGGCCGATTCTAAGTCAGATGGGTGTTTCTCAAAAGGGACCAATTCCTTCAGGTCGCAACGGTTTCCTTTGGTTTCCCCTTCAAAGCTTTCGAAAACGGGGATGCCGATTTTCAAGAAATACCCAGATTGGCTCAAAGTAGATGGCACTGCTTGGATTTTGGTTCTACTCATCCACCAGAAGGCCACCTATGGTTCCCTTTTGAAAGACTCGGGCTTTGGTTTTCTCTTATTCGAGGGCTTCCCCCTTAGAACTTGCTGGAGGTCTAGGACTACAACTGAAAATTCCAAACCAAACACAGAAAAGCGAAAGTGGCGCATCGCTTGCCGGTTGGTTTCAAACGGAATTTGAATGCATCATTATTACCTGGAGTCTCCATGACCCTTAAAAAATGGGATCATTACCCAAAATCATAGGGTCATTGACCCATTTTTAGGGGGTCATGGAGACTCCAGGCATCATGACTCCATGTTTTTCCCAGGGGGCTTCAGCAAATGGAAGCCCTCAAGCCGTCCCCCTGTCCCCCTGTTTGCCTTTGGCAGGTGGGTCAGGCGCAGGTGCAGGAGACGGAGACGATGCTTGGCACCTGGCGATCCACCCAGCGCAGCAAGACCAAGGCGAGAGTCGAGTGGAGTCGAGTGGAGGGGAGGTCCCCAGGCTTCCTTGCCCCTAGGCTTGCTGCCAGGGTTCCCCATCATTCCAGGGCTACCTTCCAATTCCATTCTTTCCAGGGATTCGGGATCCGAATCTTTTCAGGAAACCATCAAAAACCCAGGGGGAAACGGATCCGGTGTTTGAAAAGAAGGATACGATGGTTGAAAGGAATGGTTGGAATCAACTCTAGAATCATGTAAAACCTAGCAAGGAAGTCTGGTTACCTACTACTATAGTGGGAGCTGGAAGCAAAGCAGGGCTGTCTGTTTTTGAGACCCTCAAGGGTCCTTTTTCAAGGCTTGGCACGGAGAACCCGGTACACCCCGAGCAGCTGAAACGGGATGTCAAAAGGATCTATGGGAATGGGTCAAAATTAAGGCACCAGGGGACCGCAGGTTTGGGTCCATGGCTCCCCATTGCCAGATTCCATTTGGGGTACCTATTTTTGAACAGCCATATGTTGCGGCGCAGTATTCCATCAGGACTTTTGGGGTAGGACCGGTTGTTTTTTAGACTCCAATCATGGCACAGCGGTTTTCCTTTTGGTTGCCGTTTAAAGCCGCGAACAAAGGGGTGCCCTCGGAAAAGATACACCCTTGGTGATATTTGTTAAAGCGAAAGTACAGGGAGACCAAGCATGTTCCATTCGGCTGTTTTTGTTTAAGGGAAACTATAAGGAACCCGTAGCCATGTTCGTGTCTTTTTTTGACATATTTTTCTGCGGGTGCCTGGACCCAACAAAAGCGACCCTGAACCGGCAGCTCCGTGCGATAAGCCGCGACCAAAATTCCCCGTTCGCCAGGTGCAAGAGCACTTCTGGAACTGGACGTCCCAATGGCGTCTCTTCCTGGTGAACAGCTGCTCGGCTGGAAAGAGCCAACAGGAATTCTATGTCCCGGGTTTTCAGTGCCCGGGGGTGATGTTGCTCTTTCGTACGGGCGGGTTTCCCGTCCAACCTGGTCAAGCCCGAAAAGTGTTCCCTGAGGTTGAAACCAAAATTAAGATCAAAGGGGGCTAACATAGCCACCTTTTTTAACCCAAGGAGTTTCATGATCCAAATTGGGTCCTGGCCAGTCTTTTAATCGGGATTGAAGCGGAGGGTGTTCCCATTGGTTTCTGCCAGACACCTACATGAAAGGCTTTTTGAGACTTCGGCGCCTACTTTGCAATTCCCCGTAATTCGCCAGCGCAAGGCTTCCAGTGCCAGTTGCCCAGTGCTTCCAGGCAAGCCACGTATACACGTATACGTACAGGTAACCCGAAGCCATGTAACAAAAAACAGCCTGGAGCTAAGAAACCCTGGTGGCAAGCCTGCTACAGTTGTAGCTGGAAGTAGGGCTAAGAGCCTCGCAAGCTCGGGGGAGTTGGCATCGCTTGCGACTCAGGGTTCAAATTTTGACCCCAAGGCGGACCTTCTTTCCCAGGTGGTCGATTTCCGTCAAAGGAACACTTCCCGGAGTTTTTTAAGTCTTCCTGGAGTCTACTTCTGACAGTCAACAAGAATGGAGTCGTTGTTTACCCAACACTCAGGGGTCATGACCCCCTTTTTTAGGGTCAGAAGGAGACTGCAGGTATCTCGGCCCAGTGCGTCCAGGCAAGCCACTGTACCGGGTAGCCACGCACCATGGTTTCCCCTGGTTCCCCCGCTGCAGTGGCAAGCGCCTGGAAGCACTGGATGAAATCTGAGCCTTTTCTTTTGGAACCCTTTTTGCGTCAGAAGGAGACTGCCTGGAGTCTGCATGACCCTTTAAAAATGCGTCAATGACCCCATTAGTTTGGGTAATGACCCCATTTTTTTAAGGGTCAGAAGGAGACTCCAGGTGAAGGTAAGCCTCAGGGTGTTCAGCAAATGGAGCCCATGGCCACGCATCCATCCGGAGTCTTCCGGCAGAAAACCCCCGGTGGGCCGCGTGAGGCACGCTCGCTTCAGGGCACAAAGGCGATTGTGCCGATGCGCTCGAGAGATCCGGGGTCTCGGGGCTTCAGACAGATTTTCCTCACATTTTTGCTTCATGTGGATGGACCAACTTCTGCACTTCGTTAAACCATGGTTGAGACCATCACGTTTGTCGGCATTTCCAAGGGAATCGGATCAGAAACCAGGGTTCTTAGGTGGCGCGAAATGGGATTTTGTCCATCCACAGTACGTATGTTGCATATGTTTTATTTTTCCCTTGGTTTTAAAGGACACCTATATCACAGAGCTTCCCTATGCTTGTTTGAATTTCAGGGGAGATGTTTGTGTCCCCGGTTTCAAGGGGACCTCTTTCCGAGGGTCCTTAGGGTTCCTTTTGAGGATGGCCCTCAAAGGGGGTCATTCAAAAGGGGGGTCCTTTCGTATATCACTACCGGACATGCTTTTCACCCTGTAAGCTCCAAATACCCACGTGTTTTTTCAGAGTGTGGTTTTTAGAAAAACCACCTTTTCCACAAACAAATACCTCCTTTGTTGAGTAGATGGTTGACCTAATACCCTAAGACAAGCCTGGGTACTGGGTTGTTACAGGGTTTCATGGGACGTATGTTGCGGGCCCCGCGGGGTGTCTCCCAATTCCGAGGGCCCCGCGAAGTCCGACTGTCGCAACGCCCAAAGAGACCCGGGAATGATCATTCCGATGCCCGAAAGTCTTCGTACCAACAACTTACCTCTTAAAAACAGAAAACGTTTCTCAACTTTTTGGGTAACATGGGCTATATGTCTGTAAAAGATGAGAACTTCCCCAGGGCTTGGAGTTTTAAGGGGTAAGACAAGCGTTGTGGTTTCAACCGTGGCTTCATTTCGTGGCGCGAAATGGATTCTGTCCATCTACAGTGTCACGAAAAGGGGGGGCGTTCTTTAGGGTCTTGGGGTAGGATGTTTGAATGGTATGTTGCAACTGCGCGAACAAACAAATATATCATCCATACCTTCTTTAGGGTCTGAGGATTTCTTGCTTGGGGTTGCAACCACTTGGCCACCGAAGGTCTAGGGTTTCTTAGGGAGTCCCCAAGCTTACGTAGCCTCTTGGTCAGAGCGGAATTGGTTTCCCGAATTCAAAGCCCCTTTACCCTTTTTTGGGGGAGGGTTCCCCTACTAACATAGACCACAGAAAAAACAAGTACCCATATACTAACCTCTCTACTGGAGGACCTAGAAGTTGTTTCAGCCATTCTCACAGCCCATCGGAAAACCTCTTTCAGAGGATTGCCTTCGTCTTCTTCCCTTCGACTAGGATTGGTGAAGGAAGGGCGCCACCCTGTTAACATCAAGCGGTTCTGTCCCACACATGTTCACGGTAATTCAACCCCAGGGGGGTGCGTTCGTCCCCACAATCAAAGGACACTTGCCCCGGCAAGGATGAAGTACGGGCTCAACGAACCGTTATGCGCAACATTCATTGCCAAGCCCAGTGCTTCCAGTTACCACTATAGCAGTATGGCTACTTCTGTGTATGGCTACCAGAGAGTGGTAACTGGAAGTACTGGGAAAGACACACCCGCCCCAAGAGCGGACATTTCGCCAAGGACACATCCACAGCCAACGGTCGCAAAGCATGCAGAGCCAAACCTTGCAAACAGACCAGTCCAAGAGGGCTCTTTCGTCTTCCAAACCCCTCTGGCAGCCAGTGGATCCGCCTGGCTCTGCGGGTAGCCGACCATGTTGATTTATTTGTTCAAGGGTTCTCTAGTTGCCTACTTTGACACCTGCCTCTACTCCCAATACTTGGATTCATCACTCGTGCAGGGGACACCGCCTATTGATAGGACAGGTTTATGAATCCCGGAACTTGCTCCATGATAACCATACCTACCATTTTTGTTCAGGGGTTGACATCGTAGCCTAAAAAGTGGGCATGTGAAGTAGGACCGGTACCCGGCAGAGACATAGCCAAGTCTCAAAGACGCACCTTGAAGGGTCCAGTCTCAGAGTCCTGCATGGGTGTTCAAGCTTCTAGTTGTAGCCTCTCCATTCTTTCCAGGGATCCGAATCTGTTCAGCAAACCTTAAAGGATAAACCAGGGAAACAACTGTTTTTTTTTAAAAGAACGATGGTTGAAAAGAATGCGGAATCAACCCTAGAAAGCTAGTAGGATACGACCATTGTTTTCTAATGGCCTTACCCCCAGTTACCTCCCCTAGAACCAAGATAGTAACCGACTTGCTAAGTAGCTTCACCCAAGAACCCTTAAAATTCCTTTGGGCGTGTCCTTCTGTAGGGGCCCCACAAATTGTGGTCTTCCTTGGGTTTCCCTTTTAAGCCCACCCCAAAAGCGGGACCCCTACAAAGACACACACCCAACTGTTGCCCGCAGGCTCTCAGCTGAAGAGTCTGGGGGACGTCACAGAGGCCCCAACTGCCAGCGGCTGCCAAGACGCAGAGCTGGACATCTCCTGGCTGCTGAGGCGGGATGCGGATGGATTTACCCTCCTTCAGATGAGCCACTTGCTCAAAACCCGAGTAGATGAAGGTTAGTAAGGGGCAGTCCCAGCCAGAAATAGTTACGGCCGCCTTCTTAATTCTTGAAGCATGGTTCTGGGTAGACCATTTTAATACCGGGTTTCGAGTGTGACTCAGATGTCTCGGATGTTGGATTGACGGAGGCCTCTAGATTTGACCACATGGCTTCCCCTAGTTGCCTACTATGATGATCTATGGTAACTGGAAGCTGAGCAAAGGTCTACACTCCCTCAGACAAGCCGGGAGCTCCCAGGCCGATCCGGTCGATGGAACCGAGTCTTCCAAGCTCCTGGGAGCGAATCGCATGGAATCGCCTGGGGGAGGGTAGTGGCGGTAGTGGATAGAACTCTTCACTTTGGGTAGGGCCAAAATGATGGGGTGATTTAGGGGCAGTGGTTTCGTGTCCAGACAGGTGCTTTGGGCAACTTGGATGTTCAGCCAACTTTTCTAAGGAGCATGATCATGTAAAACCAAAAGGGAAGAAACCCTGGTTACCTGCTCAGGGCTCCTTAAAAGATACATTTTGCCCATTTGAAGCATGGCTTTTTCCACCAAAATGAAGGGACACCACCATTTACAAGTTGCAATGTTCAGGTGTATGTAAGGATCCCTGTTGCTATAGTGGCAAAATGCCTGGAAGCACTCTGCTCGTGACCATACCCTGGGGTTCACTCGGTAAATCATGGTGGCTCCCAGTCGTCCCCCTTGGCTTTTTTGCTGTTGAGGGTTTAGTGGTTGGGTGTCCATTGAACCCCCCTAAAGTTGAACTCACATTTAGCAGTGGATCAGAAAACGGACAGCCCAGAATACTGGTGGTTAGATTAACCCAACTTAGATGGTCTGGGACGAATCGCTAAGTGGTTAGTAAGCCTAGTTGTAACCCATTTACCTTTAAACAATGGGGTCAGTACCCAAATTACCGGGGTCACTGACCCATTTTTAAAGGGTTATGGAGACTCCAGGTAGTTATATTCACCCAAGCATTTTTGTTTAATGGTTTGAACCCGAATCTCCTTCCCACTAGCATGGCAACTGAGAGGCGGTCCCTTCAAAAGGAAACTAATCTTCCAGGTACCTCCCCTGATCCATGTTAGTTGGAGGAACCATAGTTGTACCCTAGTTGGAGGAACCCATTTACCTAGTTGTACCCAAGTTATATTCACCGAAGCATTTTTGTTTAATGGTTTGATCCCTGCATTTGCTAGGTCCTCCAGTAGTGCCCCTTTACCCTTTTTTGGAGGAGGCTTCCCCACTGGAGGACCCATAAGTTGTTTCAGCCATTCTCGCAGTGGGAAAACCTCTTTCAGAGGAAATTGCCTTAGTCTTCTTCCCTACAGTCGACTTGGATTGCTGAAGGCAGGGAGCCACTCTGTTGACATCAAGCGGTTCTGTCCCACCCGTGTTCAGGGTATTTGAACCCAAGGGGGGGTGCGCTGCATCCCAACAATCAAAGGACACTTGCCCCGGCAAGGTTCGACTTGATCCGCACGGGATCAACGAACCATTATGCGCCATTTACCCTTTTTTGGCGGAGGGTTCTCCTACTAAAATAGACTAACAAAAAACAATAAGGTACCCTTATTCTAACCTCTCAAATCTGGAGGACCTAGTCCCTGACGACCGGGTTGAGGGAACCCGCCGCGCCACCATTTCTTCGGCCGGAGCGAGGCTGCGGCACCGCGGCGCGGCGTTTCTGGTGAACCGATCCAGGCAGAGCTGCCGCACCCCGCGCCGCAACGAGGAGGTCCAGGAGGGGGTGGGACGCGTGTCCCCCGTAGAGCCCCCAAGGTGCCACCGCCCTTTTTTTTTTGGGGGGGGGGGTTGGGAGGGTTCAACCCGACTTAAAATAGAAAAACTGGCCATGGTCCCCCTGTCGTGCCCGCTCTTTCACCCCTTTTTTTTGGGTTGGGAGGGCCTCCCCTAACTAAAATAGACAAAGTACAAAAAGTTGGCACCCTTATTCTAACCTCTCTACTAGAGCACCTAGGAGCCAGGAGAGACGCAACCAGGTCGTTGGCTACCGATTACCAGGGCGATATATTTGTTCAAACGTTCACCTGCAGGGTTGTGGGGATCACTCGGGGTTTATCCCCACTTTTGTGATACAAGTTGGAATCCCCCCCAGTGCTTCCAGGCAAGCCACTATAGTAGGTAACCAGGGGAAACCATGATGTAAAACCTAGAGGTAGCCATACTTGGTTACCTACTATAGTGGCTTGCCTGAAAGCACTGGGCCCCCTTTAGTCCCTTTATTTGGTTCGTCTTTAGGAAGCCCTTCATGTTGTATCCCACTATCCAGGACGTGTGCGGATCGGAGAGACGCTCCAGGTCATTGGTTGGTCCTTGCTTGGAGCCTCTGAAATTACCCCTACTGGTCTAATATGGTTTAAGGGGAAGCCATGCGTTGAGGAAAAACGACCTCCATTTGTTGGAGGGTCCGCTTAGAAAAAAGAAGAAAAAAACACGCCCGTTGGGCTTGTTTTGTCTCGAAGGCATTCCGGACCTCCAGGTAGGTACACTTTTTGAAGCACCAAACACGAGTTTGCCTCTTTTGTCTTGAGCGCACCCTCCCCTCCACGTTGCCATGGAACCCAGAGGGTCCCTTTCAGGAAATGCGTCTTCCGGGTCCCTTTCAGGAAATGCGTCTTCCAGTGTTTGATTTTCTCTGAAGTTCAAGCAGGGTGGAAGCTTCAGCCACCATACTTAGCATCCAGGTGAAATCAATGGTCGTTTCAGATGTACCCGGAGGATCATAGTCAGGGGAATCCCCCCAACCTCCATTTCAAAGCTTTTTGGGTGTGGTCTTAGAGGGCCAGGGAAACCAGGCAGAACCATGATGTAGTTCCTATAGAGGTAGAAATGCCTGGTCACCCACTACAGTGATAACTGGATCCGCAACTTTCAGGAGGGGGGCTATTTTTCTGCTTGGTTCGTTCACAAGCTTGGCGATCATGGGCCATCATGGGGGCAAACAAGTGACTCTACCCATGGAGGTCCAGCTTGGATTCCTATTTTCCGGTGTGAGAATCAGAGCTTGTGCAAAAAAACATGATGGGAAGCCGCCAAGGTGTTTCCAGGCGGCTTGCGGTGGAGGCAAACCTTCGGACCACGTTTCTTCACTCGAGGTAACTGCATGGGTGTGTCTTTCTTGGAGGCTCGGACTCTTCTTTCGTGTTTTACGAGATCACCAAGAGGAGAAAAGAAGGAGAAAATAAACATCATGGTTCTTGTTTTGGGGGGGAGGGTCGCCGTTTTCTTTGTTATTGATTTTGTTTTGTGGTTTTAGTGAGTAAATCCCTGATGGCTTCCCCTAGTTGCCACGATTTTTGTGTAGGACGGTTTCTTTTTGACGCCGTCACGCATCCAAGAAGGGCTTTTAAGCTGGTTTTGCGTATAGGTTTCCTGCGGAAGGAGAAAAAAAGGAGAAACAAAACTGAAAGAACAAAACGAGAAACAAAAAAGAGAGGGAGAAAAAAAACAAAAAACAACACCAGCTTTTTGCCATGCACAGTAAGCTATGTCATGATTGAGTATAGAAAAAGGTACAGAAGTTCATTAGCAGATGCTTACGCGACAACATTACACAATTATAGGGGTTTATTCCCCATTCTTTTCAACCATCGTCCTTTTCAAAATAACAGCCGTTTTCCCCGGGTTTCCGGAGGTTTTCTAGAAAGAAGGATCCCTGGAGAGAATGGTTGGAAGGTAATTCTGGAATAATCGTTTGTTTTAATGGAAGCAGTGCCCCCCGCCCAGGAGGGAAGCTGGTCGAACATTCAGGTCCTCACGCACAGCTTAAGTATGTTAAACACATATGTTTGATCATGTAAGAATGACATATTGTCCTTTCTCAGACCTAAACTTTTTTTTACGCCTACCTGCTAAGGACCTGCTACTATAGCGGATGCAGCCATGATGAACAACTTTGTTGTAACACCATTATCACAGTATGATCCTGGTTTTTAGACATCATATCGCAACCTATGCTCAGAAACATCAGCTAAACAACACACCTATGGTCATTGCCACACTCAACCAACCGCTTTGCGTTTTGGTCCTTGTGGCTTTCCTTTGTTTTGAACCCGCCAAATATAAGGGCTTTTGTATTACACCCTGGGAATACACCCACTGGGTATTGACCCCCATTTAGGCACATTTCCGGATAAAACCGTGTTATTTTGAGCCATTCTGGGTCATTTCCCAAGGGTGTAAGCCCAGGGTGTAATACACAAATCCTCAGAAAGCAGGGGTCCACTCGTGCCCAGCGGCGAAGACGAGGAGGCTGTGTCATTCTTTCAGCGACTCACCGTCTTCGCGCGGAGAGCGGTGGAGCTGCTGCGGCCAGGCGAGCGGCGAGATCATGGGTGTCCTTTTTGGTGCGGTTTGCTTGAAAAACATAGAGGGCGATTCCTGGTTTAGATGGGATTTCTTGACTGCTATTGGGTTGGATCTTTAGACTTTAACTTTTTGGGAAATCAGGGGGTTTTCCACTAAACCCCCCAACAAGTTCAACTTTTTGCAGGGGGGTCAACAGCCAGGTTTTTTCCATGCAATGTACCAGGGACACCCATCTATTTTTTCCATAAGGCCATGGGCGAGATGCTAGGAGTGAGTTTACCCTACGCCAGTGCTTCCAGGCGCCTGCCAGCTTTTTATATGGGTACCCCCCCCCTTGGGTGTGGCTTCCAGGTGTTACATCATGACACCCCTCGCCCGGGCCAAGGGTGACTATTACAGTCTATAGTGTTGTGGTCATAGAGGCATCCTGGTTACCTGCTGTAGTGGCTTTCCTGGAAGCACTGGGGATGGCAAAGATTGCTGCTACCGATGGAATTATGTGATCTCAAGGCACCAAATAGGCCGTTTTAGCTGATCGGGAGTGTACGGGGACCATGACTTCTCCATAACCTAGGTTACTTAAACTTATTTGCAGCCTGATTTTTTCGTTCAGCGTGTGGGGAATCAATAATCCCGCTTGTTTAGTCTCTGGACTTGAGTCACTTCTTGATTTTAGCGGCAAACAGCAAGTTTGAACTTTGGCCAATCCTCTCAGAAAGCGAGAAGTACTCTAAGGATATGGCAACTTTCAATTGCCGAGTCCTCAGGAATCAGAACAGACGGGGGGATGCGCTGGGCAGCGGTTCAGGAGGGAAGTTTTCGGAGGCTTCCAGAGGGAGCTCCGCTGTTGGGTCCCGATACCAGGAAGGCTTATATTCTTACATGGGTCTGGGTATACCGTGGTAAGGCACTGCAAGTATTTGGGAAATCAAGGTTGACTATTTAATTTCCACTGGTCTTGACCAAATGGAAGTTTTTAGGACATCATGGAAGGTGCTGCTGGCTTTCTGGCGCAGAGCCGTTGATTTTTTTGTTGGGTAGAGGTCATCAACTTGAGATGTGGCATCCGGATGCGCCATGTGGCTGTCAAACATATGTACCAAAATGGCACCTTGGTAAATGGAACCAACGACTAAAACCTGCGTATCCCTAGCTGTTTCATTTTGAGCCGCACCCATTCAGAGACCCTGAAAGGTGCCCCTTGGCTAAGGTGCCCTTTGTAATTTTGCATACTGCTTCCGCTGTTGCAATGTTAGGGGATGGGCTGTAGCAGTTTAGCTCACTGTCGGACGCTGCCATCACGAGCAACTTTGAAGCCCAAAAGTCCAAAGGTCAAGAGTTTCAGTTTGGCCCGCCTTTGCTAGGTCCCCCAGCAATTGGTGCCCGACCTCTCACCCCTTCTTTTGGTTGGGAGAGTTCCCCTAGTCGTCGCAGTAGTGCCCTTTTACCGTTTCTTTTTTGGTTGGGAGGGTTCCCCTACTAAATTAGACTACAGAAAAAAGTTGGTGCCCTTTTTCTAACCTCTCTACTGGAGGACCTGGTTTACACTAGGGTGAAAGCAGACCCTCAAGCTGCCCACAAAAATGTGACACCACCCCAACATAATGGGGTGGTTTCCTTTCTTAAGGGGCAGTTTGAGTGTCCATGTGGCACTTTTCCCGGTATGTCCATAACTCAAGGGGATTAAGTTTGAATGAACCCAGTGCTTCCAGTTACCACTATAGCAGGTAACCACGGGACACCATGATGTAAAACCTGGAGCTGAGAAACCCTAGTTACCTACTGTGGATGGACAAAATCCTGCACCACTTTGAAACCATGGGAAACCATTCTTTATTGGTATTTGCTGGGGAATCATCATTCCAGGGTTTCTCAGGTGGTGCAGGATTTCGTCCATCCACAGTATCACAACCAGATGTAACACCTAGAGCCAAGAGACCCGAGTAACCTAGTATGGTAGTAACCAGAAGCACGGAGGTTGTGCCATTTGTCACCCAAGCGTGCCCTTTTACCGTTTCTTGTTTGGGGGAGGGTTCCCCTACTAAAATAGACTACAGCACAGAGTTGGTACCCTTCTTCTAACCTCTCAAATCTGGAGTACCTAGCATTTGTCACCCAAGTGTGGCAACAGAATCCATCCGCTTTTGTCAAAAGCTCAGCTCTCTCGAGGCGATGGCTCCAGCGACTGGGCTGCGGAGCTGGAGGATGCGCGCAAAGCGTCAGGCGTGGTGGACGTTGTTGGGTCGAGGTTTGGGGGCGATACCTCCATTTGCTGAAATGAACATGTTCTCACTTCCTGAGTTCGTGAACCTCAGTTGTTCAGTCGCATCATTTTTCCCTTCTTTTTTTGGTGGCTGCCCCACTAAAATTGTCTTTCCCAAAAAAGGTTCCCTATTTTTCCAGGGTCACTGAACAACTGAGGAACTTTAAACTTTTTGAGAAGACCATTTTAGTGGTAAATATAAAGTTTGGACCTTTTTTGGGCCATCCACTCAGCAGGTGAGTGTTTTATTTTCCCTTGTTGGTTTAAAAGGGAATTTATCACTGCTGCCTGGACATATTTGATTGTTTTCGCGGGGGCTTAAGCAAATGGAAGAATATGGGAGCCTAAACAAGTACTCAGACGTGCCCAGCCATCCTGTTATTTAGGTTTCTAGGCTTTGGGGGGTTTAGTGGGAGTTCAGAAAACGGAAAGCCCCGAACAGAAAATAGTTTCGGGTACTTTAAAACCACATTTACTCATGATTACAGGAGAAGACTGTTAGTCCCAGTCCCAGCGCTTCCAGTTACCACTATAGTAGCTAACAAGGTATGGCTACCTCTATAGGTTTTACATCATTGTTTCCCCTGGTTACCTACTATGGTGACAACTGGAAGCACTGGGAGTAATTCTGCAGCCCGTTTATTTACATCTTTCTACTGATTGATTCCAACCACTCTCCTCACCCATCGTTCTCAATAGAGGGAGCACCGATTTTCAACCAGGCCTGACGAGCATAGAAATGACAGGTTCAGCCAGAAACACGCTTACCCGCACACCCAGCGTAAGTCGTAAGGGAATTCTGTTGTCTATGGTGCATATGGGCCTTCTGACCCCAAAAATGGGTTGCCGAGAAACGTCTCACCAGGGGGCTGTTTTGTTAGCAACAAGGTCATACACTTCCCAAATGGGGTTTACTGTGTTAACCGATGAACACACCAAACCATGGCCGAGTTGACCCAACTCGGCCGGAAAAATAGAAGAAGCAACAATAAAAAATACACGTGCATGTGTCTCGAAGTTGGGTTTCCTGTAGGTTTCCCAAGGTCCAAGATGTTACGAGTTTCACCTTTAGGTTCCCTTGCAAAACAAACACAAACACACTCAGGCAGGGATGCCGAGCCTCAACAAAAAGCGAAAACGTCCACGCGTGCCCAGTGCAGATGTTCAAGCCGATCCTGGCTCTCTTTGCTCTTGAGAACAATGCCATGTGCTCAGCTCCGTCGGTCGCCGATCGCCGACCTCAATGGAAGCCTGGCGCAGTCTCCCGGTTTTTGTTTCCCCTTTTTTAAATACAAATAAATATATATATATATATATATATAATGGGGATCAAAGAAAGGAATCTCAAAGTACAACACTCCCCGGCTAATCCCAATCCCAGGTCCCTACCTATAGTACCTATAGGTAGCCCTTCGCCGGTGGCCTTTTGATTTTAGCTGGTGCCTTTGGGAACGCACAGCGAAATGGAAAAGAACTGGGAATGGGAATGCCCCTAAAACAGCTCACTTCCTGAGTTCATGAACTTTAAACTTTTTGGGTTTGGACCATTTTAGTGGTAAATAAAAAGTTCGAACTTTTTTTGGGCCAGTCAACTTGGGAAGTGAGCCTAAACATGTTTCACAGCAAGGTGCCCATTTTCTGACGTTCTGCATGGGCCAAAGGCAACGCCCAGTGTTTGATTTTCATATTTTGAGGTCGCCTGAGTTAAGAGAACCTGTCTAAGGGGTCCCTGCTTTTGAGATCCATGTGCTTATTCGCACTTGTTTCTGTTGACTATGACTTTGGAGTGATGGTTGACATTCAAGCGAACATGGGTGTGCTGGGTGTGTTGCGTATCAGTCTAGGCGAATACATGTCTTATGCGCGTGGATTTATGAGGAGCCAACCACGTGCCTTTGAGTAGATGCCTCTGCAATACCTGGCGGCTCAAGTGGTTCTGTTGCTTTTTCGTGTTATAGGGATCGAGCCCGACTCTCAAAACTTTGTTGCATTTTGCTTGGATGTTAGGACTTTAACTTTTTGCCAACTAATGGGTTTTCCATGAAACCACTAAAAGTTAAACTTTTAGCAGGGGATCGGAAAGCAACTGAGTAAAGTGGTGGACATGAATTCCCGAATAATGTACAAAAGGCGAGGGTACCTTTTTTCGGGTTCTACTACCTTGGGACATGTGGGACTTGTTTTTCAGTGGGGCTTTCCCACACATGTTGGGGGAGAGGAGCGTGTCCCTGTAGTTTTACTTTTAAACCAGCCTCATCGAGGATACCATCAAGCAGAGTTTCGGCACATGAATTTCAATGAGGAAGCCCCGTATTGCGGATCTGGCGTTTGGTTGAGGGCTCTTTGGGCTTCATCAATCACGGCTTCCTCATAAATCCGCAATGACTCGCTTGCCCAAAGCGAGTCGACCTGAAATGACCTTTTGGTATCTCGTTTTTGGAAACCAAGTTGAGTGGCCCCCAACGGTGATCACCTTTCATGGCGTAAGGGGCAAGTGAGATGAGGTACCAAGGGCCCCTCTGGGGTTTGGGGCTTGAAGTTCCCCTCTGAGACAACCCATGGTTTCCTAGGTCCGCAGGTGCCCTTTCTCTTCCCTCTTTTTTGGTTGAGAGGCTTCCCCTACTAAAATGGACTACAGAAAGAAGTTGGTACCCTTCTTCTAATGCCTCTACTGGAGAACCAAGGTCCCCACTTGGAACATGCACATTTTGAGGCCTCCGGACGGCCAGTGCTTTCGGTGCCTTCGGCGTGCAACCTCGGGATCGGGAGGGGTCCCTTCAAACTGGGTTTTTTGGTGATAACCCTTTCGGGTGTGTGTGTGTGAAAGAGAAACCAACAGGAAAGCCACTATTCTGGCAGTTCCCTTGTTTTGATATGTCCTGCAGGAGACCCTAAACAGGGACTATAGGGGCGCCTATATTCCCCTTGCTGATTTTTGGGTTTAAACATCACATTGTTGGGCATGGCATTCATGTTCACCATCATTCAATTGGCAATTTCAGAGTGCTATTTTGACGGATCCAGCTTCTTCTTCTTCAATGGCGGTTGGGTTTGCTGTTCAATGGCGCATGGTTTTCTGTTGAAAGACGGCCGCCATTGGAGTTTGGTTCACCATCAATGTATGGAGTTTGCGATGTAGAAACGGAGCTAAGGCTTGGAACTATGTTCCATGTCGACCCCCCATTGAACGGCAATCCAAAACAGCACCTGACAGAAAGCTTCTTTTGGTTTGTGTTGGCGTGCGTTGAGTTTTACCCTAAGGGGGCAATGGCAATGTCCATTGAAAGGGATGCGGAACAAGTGCAATTTTGCACGCTGGGCTTAGGAAAGGCATGACCTTTGGTCTTTTAAAGTGAGCGTCCTCTGGCTGTGATGTAAGGGCGAACATTGTGGGTGCTACAGTACCTACAATGATTGCAACCATTTTCTTTTCCCTAAAGGGTACCAGAAAGGCATGTGTTTGTTGGATAGCAGACCTACACCCGGTCATCCCCGTACCTGACGGCAAAGTGAGCGGGGTCCCTCCGAAGGAAGTACAAAGACATCAGCGAAGGTTCCGAAAACATCTCAGTCCTTGAATTCACCTAGATCCTTGGCAGCGCCAAAAGGTCACCACGGATGTTTCACCTGGGATACATTTTACATTTTACCAGTGACTCAAAGTGAAGCAAACAATAAAATGTACATTCTACAACTGGACCCAACTCTAATCATCATTCCAGGGTTTCTTAGGTGGTACAGGATTTCGTCCATACACAGCAGTGCCACCCCTGATTGCTCAAGGCGCAGCGGATGTTTGCCATGGTCAAACTTTGCATGGACCAATCATTAGGTTTTCAGCAACCTTGGGAGGTTCTCGAAGCGAGGGCCCCCTAGAATGTTGAGGTCCTTTTGGTGTCCGTTGCAAATGCAACAAATGCCAAAAGCGGGTCGATTCACCACTTTACTTCCTGAATCCTGGACTTCAAACCTTTTGGGAAGATCATTTCAGTGGTAGACACATGGTTTAGATTTTTGTTGGCCCATCCATTCAGGAAGTGAGACACTCATAAGCAAAAGGGGGTCCATTCACCACCTTGAGAAACACTCATTAACAAAACCCTGGTCTCTGATGATTCCCCTTGTAAATACCAACGAACAATGGCTTCCCATGGTCTCAAAGTGGTGCGAAATGGATTTTCTTCACAGTAAGGACTTGGAATTATAAAGCTTGAGCCCTCGACTAAGGCGGATGTGGACACTGTACTGGACGCTTATCAGAAGAGTTTGGATGACAAGCTTCACACCATCGAGAGGAGGGGGAAGAGTTGACAGAGTCGGACCAACTTTGCGGTTCTTGGCAAGTGTTCGGTTTTGTTTTTGTTTTTTGTGTGTGAGTCTGTGCTTTGTTCATTTTCAGTAGCGGGAAGCACAATAGCAAAGTCTTTTGCTACCGTACCAAGGGTTGCGAAGGAAACCCGGTTTGAGCAGTGTGTAAGCATTCATGGTGTCATCAATTCCTATTATTGTCCCTTGAACTCCCTCAGAACCAATGTATAACTTCGGGTACTCCAAATATGAAACAATCTGGACGTATGCGTCGGAGTACCCCATATTTGGGCCAAGGATCTGGGAGCAATGTGATCCTAGTTTCCAGGTGTTTTGCCACTATAGCAGGTAACCAGGGGAAACCATCAATGGTAAAACTTATAGGTAGTCATACCTGGTTACCTACTATAGTGGCTTGCCTGGAAGCGGTGGGTTATGTAGAGGAAACAAACTGTTCGGTGGAGTATCTGCGCATCCATACTGCGGATGGACGAAATCCATTTCGCACCATCTTTCAAATTCCCTGGTGTCTGATTCAATTCCCCTGTAACTACCAACACATGTAATGGTTTTAACCATGGATTCGTTTCGTGGTGCGGAATGGATTTCGCAACAGTAGCTCCAAAATGTGTCTCAATGGAAATTTGCCAGCTTGGAAGGGAACCACCCTGAAGCCAAGGGCCGTCTTGATATATATTTTTGAGTTGGTTCCCCCCCTTTTTCGGTGGTAAGCCCAGTGCTTCCAGGCGCAAGAGCGAGAAAAGCAGGTAAGCCTTTGGTATTTTGGTTTGTCTACCTCTAGGATTTACCATGGATGGTCTCCCCTGGAAACTCGTGGCAACTGGAAGCACTGGCCAAAAGCAAACCCGAAACCATTTTGACGGTCCGAGTCCGATTCGCAGGCACAGCATCTGAACTTAAAGTGCGCAGCTCAGCAAGCCGGCTATAGCTCAGTTGGTAAAGCATCTGACCGTGCATAGCTTGGGACCTCTCCAAACAGTTGGCTTTATGTATGCTGGTGCTGCTAGCTCGAGATTCAATTGTGATGCCCTTGCATGCTTACAATGGTTACCATGGTTTCAAAGTGGTGCGATTTCTGGATTTCGCAACCATCCACAGTAAGTCTTCATCGTTGTTGGGAAACATTTTACATTTTTGCTTATTGTGGTTTAGTGGGAAATCCCCACTCAACTGCTCAAAGTTAAACTTACCTCTTAAAAACACAACTTTTCAACTTTTTGGGTAACATGGGCTATATGTCTGTAAAAGATTAACTTCCCCAGGGCTTGGAGTTTTAAGGGGTATATAAGTAAAAACATGCTTGCTCCCCTAACCCAACGTCAACCAAGATGTGTCAAGTTTGCTGGGGCCGCCGAGCTGCGAGCTGCGAGCTGCGTTGGATCTTCAGGAGCGAATCCGGCGGATTGGCGCGGCTGGTGCTGCTGCTGACGGTGACTTGGAACTGGGAAACCGTGCTGGTTCTCCTTCCATTTGCTTAAGATCTTGTGTGTGTGTTAAAAAAATGTTTGAAAACAAAATGTTGGTTTAAAAGGGAATCTTTCACTACTAGAAATAGTTTGGGTTCTCGTTTTCTTTTATTTGACTGGGTTGACTTCGCTCCTTGGCTGATTGTTTTGAAGCAACGTGGCTCTCAGAGAGAATCAGGGCTTTTCGGAACTAAGCTGTCCAGGACACCAGTTGGCCGTGGGTCAACACCAATGGGATCCCATTTTGGGGTAGGTGCACCACCCATTTTAGTCTATTTTAGTGGGGATTGGGATGTTCACTGGGGGTACGGGGTTTTGACCCATGGCCAGTTGGACGGTTCAGTTTGGGGGTCATTCCAACTCATTCCATGCGATCCAGCAAGAAACAGTGTACCCTCTTTGAGTCGACTGAGCACATGGTGCTTGTCCACATGAAAGCCAGGCCGGCCACGCACGTGTTCGGTGGTTGCTCTTTCAGATTTGATACCATTACCCCTTTCTTTGACTTGGGGCCAAAGTCTAAGTTCATTCTTCCCTGAAACTTAAACCAAACGGCATAGTATGTGGTCTATGTTTGGTTCGGGGCATGCGGGCAGCTGAAAAAAGTCAAGCACGAAAGTCAATGGGGATTCTCTATTTCAAGAATTCACCGGGAAGGTGAAACAATATGGCGAACCTAGTCTGTATGTAGGTCAACCCCAGAAATGGGTGTTGGAACTTCAAGCGTTGTCCCCTTTTCACGAAACACGTGCACAAACCTTTGTTGAAGGAAGAAGTCTTCCAACCATAGCACATGAGCCACACTCAAAACCCAAGTAGACTCAGGCATGCCCAACTATGGGGTATAGCACCTTAAATACCAGCTCACCAAGGCTAGTTCAGCTCTAGGGTTTTACATGAGGCCTTCCCCTCGTGGGAACTGGAAGCACTGGGTAAGGTTCGTCCAACCTGATTTGTTTCAGTGCGTAGACCCCCTAAGGAAATGGAGAGCCTGTCATTACAGATGATGTCCGCTGTGGATGCCTTGGAAGGCAGGATGTGGAAGGCGAAAAGTGGCGGATCCAGTTTTCTTTCTTTTTTCCATTTGCTCAACAATATGTGTGTGTGTTTTTCATTTTTCCCTTGTTGGTTTTAAAGGGAATCGCTTTCACTACTGGATGGTTTTGTGCTTTCCCGGGGGCGAAAAACGTATGTTTTGGCGCATCCAGGGAGTGAGGGAACCAACCTCCAAAAGGCCCACAAGCTTCCCTTACCACAAGTTGGCATCCTTGGGTAGTTGGAGGGTCCAGGTGAAGCGAATCGACCTTTTGACCTTGTGGTTTTTGCTGGTTTGGGCCATCCCAAGAGGCCAGCCTATCATTTCTGCCTGCGTTCTTTGCGCACGTGAGTTTCAGATTTCGAAATTACAGCCAGGGTCAGAATCCTAGACCATGCTGCTCCCTTGGGTCTCACTCCGCGGATTCTTGGACTTTAGTCCCTTCTGAGGAAGACCATTTGTGTGGCAATCGTTTGAGTGGTACACAAACAGTTTGGACTTCTCATTGGCGACAAAACACCAAACGACCCAAAGCAGAAGCAAGCCCCAAGCCAAGGCGTTGCGGAGTTTTGATTTGACCTGCTTCCCTCTTGACTCTTCTCGCACTCGAGTTGCGTCTCCAGCTCGGACCACAAAGAGAAACACGCCGTAGGGCGCCTGGTCTGTGTGGTGGATGTCCTGCGGAAACTAGCCTCAAAACAAAGACGGGCAATCACGGGCACGTGTGCTTTTGAGGCTCAGTACTTGTTCAGGTTAATAGGCAAGCCAAAAGGACAACCGCCTCTTTTCAGGTTGGCTAAAAGGGAAAACCTTCAGGACAACCGAAAGCAAGCATTTTGTTTGGCCCAGATCCCAGTTATTTGTGAGATACCTGCATGGAACCTTAGATAGATGGACTATTTCTTTCAGGGAACTGTCAGTTTCCTTGGATTTGTGTTGTGGGTGCAACTCAGAGTCACTATGAATGTGATTCGGCCTCAACTTGGTTGGTCCCAAGAAAAGGAAGGGCAAGACAAACAAGTGAACCAAGTCACCAAAACAGCGGCACAAAACACCCTTTCTTGGGGGCAACGAAGTGTCTTGAGCGTACCCAAGGACACCAAAAGGATACCAAACATTTCGGAGGTCCCGGATTTTTTGCCACTTACGCTCCGCAGGGAGCTAAGGGAGGTGAGTTTGTCTCACAACTCCCCCGAACTGGTTGTTTCCTCTTGACTTCCCTTTTAGACCACCAAAACAGAAGGTACCACCTCAAAAGTGGAAGGTGGACATGAATCCATCATGAATCCCCACCTAAATCCGAAGACCAGCAAAGGGTCCCCAGTCAAGATTCACACCCTTTACCACCCTGTATCACTATCAGAAATCGTCCTTTATATTTGTTTTGTAGATTACCCCATCGTTTCCCCTTGCTTCGTGAAGGACTCTCTTGTCCAACGCCAACCTTTGACCTTTCGGTTTCCATTGTTTGGCCCATTTTTTAGTGGCCTCGAAAGGTGATCGCCTTTCATTTCTGGGTCCCGAAAGGGCAAATGAGACGCAGTGCTTCCAGGCAAGCCACTGTTGTAGGTAAGCAGCAAAAACCGTCCTGTAAAACCTGAAGGTAAGAAAGCCTAATTGCCTGCAGGAGAGGCTTCCACACCCACCCACCCACCCACCCACCCGCCCGCCCGCCCGCCCACCCACCCACCCACTCACTGCCTGGAAGCACTGGGAGAGGAAGCAAACTTTTCTCAACTTCGCATACGTCGCTGACGTAGGGATGCTGTACCAGCAGCTCACCAGCGCGCTCGGGAAGTCCATCCACAGCTCGGACTTCGGCGCCGTAGCTGCGTTTTTGTTTGTTTGTTTTGTTTTGTTTTTCTTCGGTTTTGGGTCGTAATTAGGTACCTGGAGTCTCCTTCTGACCCTTAAAGAATGGTCATGGCCCAAAATAATGGTTGGTCATGGACCCATGTTTAAAGGGTCATGGAGAGTCTAGGTACTTGAGGAGGCGATCGACATCCATTTGCTTCAGATTGTGTGTGATTTCCGCTGTTGCTTATAAGTGAAGATTCTCCTTTTACGTATAAACGGAAGATTCCCATTTTGTTCTACTGGAACACCTTGCTGGTTCTTCTTCCATGTGCATCTCAGAAGGTCTTGTGTTGTCCCCTGTTGGTTCTCAAGGGAATCTATCACTGATGGATATATTTGTTCATTAGTTCCAAACGACTTAAGCAAGTCAAGTTCGTAAGTGGTTGCTAACCCAGTGCGAGAAAAACAATTTACTCGGCTATATGTGCCCGCTCAGTGGGTTACAGCCAGGGTTACCAACCACTTACTAAGTATGCCTGCCCCGTTAAACACTTGGTACTTGGTACCTGCAAGGGGTCTCCATTTTTCAAAGGCCCAAGGTTTGGAGGTGTTTTTCAGGGATTTTGGGGGGGCAAGGGCAGGAGTCCTAAGTGTCCGGCTTGTCAAGTGACAGGCCCTAGGATTTTAGGATGGGGCCGGAAGGGGGAGGTGTTTCTATCCCAAAGCTGCGAGCCACTTCCGTGAGGTTGGAAAGGTGGGTTTAGCCAAGGTGGGTGCTTTGAACCCAGGAGTTTCATCCAATTGGGTCCCGGCCACTGGGTCCCAATTGGTTTGAATGGAACCCTGGGACTGGACATTTCCAGTGGGCAACGAAGAACGCGTGAAAGCTAAGCAGCTATGTGCGACTCGGGTCGGTTTTCGCGCCGAAGGGTTTTTTGCTTCTCTAAGGAGCGCTTTTCGGCCCCAGTCTTTGGACCTCCTTTTGGTTTATCAGGGTGCCGAAAAGTTACATCTTGGCCAAATGAAATACCGCCTTTACCAAGGCTGTTTCATACGTTTCAACGGGCATCGGGTGTTTGCATAGGTGCTTTGCATAGGTGCCAGGAGACCCAAAAACCTCTAAACATGTCATACCATTTGTTTCCTTTTTCTGGAAGCACTATGTTTCCACACGACAAATTTACAGGTTTTGAGTCTCCAGGTGTGTATGCTTGAATTCCTCCTGTCTATGGGCCAAGCCAAGACACCGGGCCGCCTCCCGTGGAATTTTCTCCACGAGGCGAGTACATGGACTTCCACGGGCGGATGATCCTAGGCGGGGATCAGATCGATCCCGTGAGTCGGGGGTCTCCGTGAATCACATCCGGGGTGGTCCAGAGACGGGGGTCCGTACTTGGACGTTCAATCCACGTCAGGTAAGTAGGTTATAACTATAAGGCAACCCCAGTTACCCCACTTATGACCATGGGCTTTTCAAAGGTGATGTGTAAGCCTTCTTTTTGGTTGCGCAAGGATTTGGTCCTGTTTGTACTGGTTTCCCCGAAGGGATTATGAATTGGGATTGGCCAACCCCTCCATTTTGGACTGCCCAGCAAAAAGAAAGGGTTGGGAAATCCCATCCGGGAGGGTGGTCCAAGGTGGGGGGGTCCCCAAGATTCTCTGAGGCACCCAAAGCAACCCTCAGGAGCCCGGAAATTTTAGGGGTCTCACCTACCCGCCCCCTGTCTCAAAATATGGCTGCCGTGTTCGTGTCGGTTTCCCTCGAAACTAACCCCAAACTCCTAAGCCAAGATGATGTCCAAACCAATGGAGGTTCCAAAACCAGGTCCCCCAGTAATTGGTGCCCGACCTCTCACCCCTTTTTTGGGGAGGGTTCCCCAAAAAATGGGGTGAGAAAGGGCACTACTGGGGGACCTATAGATGAAGGTGACCTAGAAGATGAAGGTGACCTGGATGAAGGTTCCCCCACTAAAGTAGACTACGGAAAAAAAGTTCGGGCACCCTTATTCTAACCTCTCTACTGGAGGACCTAGACCCCCTTCAGGGGAGGCTTTTTGCTGATGCTTGGGGTACCAAACGATGTTGTAATGTTAACCCGGATTAAGCAACCCCTGGTGGATGTTGATTGGGGGGGTGTCCCCTCTTAGTGGGGATTCGGACCACTTTTGGAGGGAACAACCCCCCCATAAAGGGACGGGTTTATTAATCCTGGGTATACAAAACGATGGGTCAGAAGGAGACTCCAGGCCAGGCCCAACAGAAAATCAGACGTGTGAGGCCGGCACTGGCCGTTCCCTTGCCTCACACGAATCCATGGCTGCCTTGTTCTACCTGGAGTCTCCGGATCTGACCCTGAAAAAATGAGAGTGGGACGCTGTGAGCGTGCGCGTTTTTCTCAGCTTTAGCCATAGAAAAGCGCACGCTCAGGGTGACCTGTTCTGTAAAAAATGGTTGGCCATTACCCAAAATACTGTAATGGTTGGGTCATGGAGAGTCTAGGTACGTGGCTTGCCTTCGTGATTTCCTTGACTTCGGATTGTGGATCTGAGAAAAGCCTCCCATGTTCAAGAACCCAGGTTATCATTCATTTGAACCCATATGTGTTGGTGGCTCCCAGCCATCCCCTCAGCTTTTTAGCCTTCTAGTGTTTAGTGGTAGTTTCCATTTAAACCACTAAAAGTTAAACTTTTAGCGGGGGATCTGAGGGCAGCCCAGATGTGCATCCCCTTCTGAAACTTGGCAGGCGACACCTATGCGCCAGCGCCCTTTGTTTATGCGGTGAGGCGGCACCAGCATCATCCAGTCGCTCAGCGCAAATGCCGCAGAGACACGCGGGAAATCATTTTTTTGTTGCAGGGAGTTCCATTAACAACTCACCACCTGAGTTCCTGAACTTTGGTCACTTGTTGGGCCTGGACCATTCTAGTGGCCTTTGCTTGCGTAGTTCGGGTACCTACCTCTTTTTGGCCCAGTCCACTCGTTCGGAGATGAGAAACATACAAACCCAGGATAAAGCCCTGTACTGTTGGCATGTCTTTAGGTGTTTGGTTCCGTTCATGTTTAGTAGTTTGGTTTCCCTCTAATTGGTGGTTTGGTTTGGTGGTTTGGAAGTTAGGGGGCAGCTTCCCATGTACTCTACAACCAGGGGTTCACATCCAAATCCAGTCCCCACCAATCCAAACCAGCAACAAAGGTTTCGGAGAGGACCGCCGCCCTTCCGTTTGAAGAAACCGCCCCGTGAAGAAGCCCCCCCTCCCCACTTCATAGAGGCCCCCCCCCCCCGCCCCTTGAAGAAGCCCCCTCCCCCCCCTTGATAACGCCCCCCCCCTTGAAGAAGCCCTCCTCAAAAAGGCTTGCGTGGGTGTGGGTGAAAATTAAACCACAAAAAAAACACAGGTTTTCGTCCTTGGTTTCATCTACCAGCGTTCCATTTTGGGATTACCCCATTTTGGACCCACAGCCGTGTAAGAAAAAACCAACGCCCCACCCGCTCCGCGGAAGCTTCCGCGCCTTCCGCCTGAGGAGGGCACTTTGTCCATCGAGGCAAAAGTGGGCGCCGCTTCCGAAGCGCCTCTGCGCAGCTTCGCGCTGCACCTGCCGGAGGGGCGGCCCATGCGCAGCTCGGAATGGAATGAGCCCAGGAGTCTATGGACTTTAGTTCCGTTTTGAGGGTAAAGGGGAAAATTAAAAAAGCCTTCTTGAAGGGTCCACTAAAAAATAAACACCCACTCATACTCTTTTCTGTGTACCCCTTTTTTGTGGGGGGGGGTCTATTTTTGGATTTCTTTTCAGCTTGGATTGAACACCACCATATTTTTTACGAGCCGTTCCGCTATTTTGACACATTCCCATATTTGGCTAGTCTCCCAAGAGGCAACCAGCACCAAAACGGGATGGGTATTTGCTGGTTCGATTGGCAAATAATGAGTTGGAATTACTGCGAACTCAACTATCCCTTGCAGTTAGGTTAGGAATGGATACATAGATTCATTCCAGAAACCTTTGAGGCTCCCTACTGAGAAGGAGCGAGGTAAGGCTACATGACTGGGGGCCGAATCCTGTCAAACATCAAACGACCCCACCACAAAGTGGCACATCCAAGACACGGTAGCTGCACAGGAGACCCAACACCCGGACCTCCTGCGGGGTTTTCCGTTTTCCCCTTTGTTCGTCATATTTCGACAGCGTTATATGGCTTTTAAAGACATCATATTTGTAAAACATGATGTCTGTGTGCTGGAAAATCCACTGGAGGTCTTGGCAACAACAACTAATGTTGACCCCGGATCTGTCTAGAACCCGACCTATTCATAGGGGGGTGGGGGCCCAGCCAAGGCCAAGGGTTTATCAATCCCTGGAGTCTCCTTCTTAACCATAGAAAAAGCATGGGGTCCTGACACCTGTTTTTTGAGTAGTGACCCCATCGAAGGGTCACGGAGACTCCGGCTTCGTTTTTTAGGCCCCAACGGCCTTTAGACAAGCTGGCTGATATTGAAGGGACGCCCCTTTGAGAAAGGGAAAAGGGCATCAGAGGGAAACACAAGGCTTGCATCGGCCAGCAGAAGCAACTAAACGTTGTTTTTTGCAACAGTACCGATCTTTGTAAGCTGACCACCAAAATGGAGTCAAGCCCCCAAGAGTGACTAAAGTCCATAAACTCATCATATCCCCAGTTTTGAAACTGTGACTGCCCATGGGTGTTAAACAAAACAGCAAGTTCCGATGGCCGTTAGAGGCGGTCAGGGCCCCCTTTTTGAAAAATAACGCCAAGGGCGTTAGAGGCGGTCCTTTTTGAGGAAACTCCAGGTATAGCAACCAGTTGCCCTCCAGATTTTCCCATGGCCGCTACAGAGTGCCCCAGGCCAAACAAAAACGGAACGAAGCTCGAAGCTCGAAAGGTGTGGAGCTGAGCTCTGCCACCTCGGTAACGTTGACCGGGGAGCACTATCTCCACGCCGCCATTTTCCACCGCTTCGCGAAAGAACGGCCCCAGGAGTGAGCACATTCGGGAGTGCAACCAGGGGCTTCCCCATGGTAACGCCTAGAGGTAAACATGCCGAAGGGTTATTTTCTGTGGCGAAACGCCTGGGAAGCACTGGAGTGGGTCAACGTTTCGGTCAAGATTGGAGCGTTGGCCAAGATGGGCTAGCTTCCATTTGGTTCAGAATATGTTTTATATTTTTGCCCGGTTGGCTTTCAGTGTATTTCCCCCATGACTGGGGCAACATTTGGGAGCATCTTACCACTTTGCCGTTGACTAACATGATGACTAGCCGAAGATATTTACATCCTAGGCTTAGGCTTGAACGAAGAATTGAGCGTCCGCCCGCAAACCCGAAATTCGAGATGGTGACCGGGGCTTTGCCCATGGTAAAATCTAGAGGTTCTCGGGGTTCTCTGTTCAAAGCGAATCGACCGGATCTGACATTCTGGTTTTTGCTTTTTGGTCCACTTGAAATAAAGGGCCCAAAGGTTAGCCTTGTATTTTCAGGTCCTTTGGGCAGCTGAGCTTTGCGTCTTTTCCTTTTATGCTTCGACGGTTTGGGAAGGATGCCAGAGGCCGATGAATAAAGGTGGCAAATGAGTGCACGATGCACCTGTCTGATCAAAGACCCCTCAAGACAATCAGTGTTCTTTGGATTTCCCTTGAGGTCCTTTCCAATCCCAGTGAATCCAGGTTACCCCTACCTAGACTCTCCATGACCCTTTAAAAATGGGTCCATGACCCCATTATTTTGGGTAATGACCCCTTTTTTTAAGGGTCATGGAGACTCCAGGTATAGTTGGCAATCAAAGGAAAAGGAGAACTCGGTTTTATGAATGCCTCCGTGAAGGGCAAGATAATCTGACCAGCGCATTTCGGAGCATTGGGGAATGCAGGGAAACTCAGTTGTTCAAAGCCGATCTTTTGACCTTTTGGTTTTCCCCATGTTGGTCCATATTTAGTCATGGCCCCAAAAGGTTAACCTTTTTGTTTTTGGGGGCATGTACTTTTATCATAGCGTATGTTATTTCCTGCCAATGTCCAACGCGACATTTGGCTCAAGCTTTTACCACGTCAAACTACGCCGCCATAGCGGCAGTGGCTGCTTACGGCGCCGCAACTCGTCCTGCCCCTGGAAAAGGACAGGCCGAGCTTCGCGGCGGTAGGCACGTCTTCTGGTTGTGGGTCGGTGTGTGTGTTTGGTGGTGTCCGCATTGGTTTGCTCTGCTTGCTCATCTGGTTGCGTGCTGGACAGCTGTTATGCTTTTCGACCTGCTTGGTTTGCTGCCTTTGTGCTTGCTTATCGGTTGTTCATTCTTCGTTTCTCTTCTGCCCACATTCAGTCTTCATGCCTCTTCTCTTTTTTAGTCTGTTGTTCTCTGTTTGTCTGCCCTTGCTGGGCTTCTTTACCTTGTTACAACTGGCACCCTGTTTTGGTTCGTGTTTGGCCAGCCGAGGGCACCGCTTTGCCCTTGGGACTGGGGGACTTAAACAATCTCTTCTTGTTGGTGGGATTGGGCCTGTTTATTCTCTCCCGAAATACTGTTTCAAACCCTTTCGCAGGTTATCAGCCGTAGGATTCGTCCTCGGTTGGCACCGCGAACCCCATTTAATAACAACCCTGCAGGCGCCGTTTTCCATAGGCTACTGTAGGACTCATGGCGGGAATCACCGAGGATGGACCTCATGTGGTGACCGATGAGTGGGTTCTCGGCCAGGCCGGAATCTTGGACGTTGTGAATGACGGCCAGGTGCCCGGACAGCCGACGTTTTCCGGTCCTGACTTTTTGTCGGACCACACTTTTTCAGAAGCAATGCCTTCAGGGAGATCCAGTGCTACTCGCACTGATGATCTATCGTCTAATGCCTCAAGAGCTAATCGCTCTCAGGGTCATGGGGCTAATCGTCCTGACCGTGATGATTCCGTCTCAGGACGTGATGATGACGAGCCCGGTATTGCACCTGGAGCTCAATCCTCATCTTTCCCGGAGCTGATGAATATTGGTCAGTCCGAGTTTCGTGACTCTCGAAGTAGCAGTAGACCTGTGCCAACCAGCAGTATAGTTTTTCAAGCACTCGGTAATCCCGAACCTGGTACATCCAGTGGAGTTGCATTTGACGTTCATCTGCCGACCGAATCCGGTGGGCTCGATTGGAGAGCCTCATGGCCCAACGACGGAAACATTTTTGGTATGGATTTTGCCGCATGGATGCCAGGGCCACCCGCCCCGTCATCTTTCCCGCAATTCCAAAGCCCAAAACGGGCTGCTGGAAGCGATGAGTTCATGCTACCTTTGTCGATTGAGAATCTCAATCCTGACGTGGCCAGCCGTAACGTTAGGCCAAGGCCGTCGGTAAACCCGACCATGAGGAACATGTCCCCTCCCCCAGGACTTTCAGGATTTGAGAGCCCTAGGGAGCGTAATATCGTAGATAGATTGGATTTGCATCCCAGTCCGACCCCGAGCAAACGATCAAGGTCAAATTCGACTGGATCGCATAGGGCAAGGGGGATGGATCGGGAAACCGCCCACAGGGGTAACCCCAGTGCGCGGGACTCAGGACGCGGTCGATCAGGTGATCCAGCGTCAATCATTGGTAGAGATCCGCTAAACGCGGACACACTCGTTAACGTGCTTGATGGAATCGAGGCATTCCAGGAGGAATTTAATAGGTCGAGTGGCATGAGCGCACAAGGTGTTCGCCCTACGCCCAACGCGGCTTCCATTTTCGCCCTAGACGACATGGACGGAGCTAATGTTCCGATAGAATCTGAATCCATGATGGCATCAAGTTCTAGTCGCAATCATACCATCAGTAATGCGACTGATATTGAATCGATGTCTGAGTCTAGAGTGTCCAATGCGACCGACTTGAATGACATTGTCATTGCTGACTCGAGACCTGATGTTCCTATGCGAATGGATAGGCCTGTTGTTCCTAAACTGCCCGTGGCCAAAGGCCTGGGCATGACACAACCCTCTGCGGTTCGTGATGCTAGGAGATCTGCTCCGTATCAGAGTCAATCTCCTAATCGGAGTGAGTTCCCACGGCCATCAACGGCCGTGCAGGATGATTTCAGAACTCCTCCGAGATCTAATCCAATCATGGTTGATTTGTCCACTCCTCGAGATCGCGGATCAGGATTTGGTCCTGCGAGTGAGGAGCAACCCAACGAGGTTGCTGATCTTGTAACAGCCCTTGAAAGAGGGAGAGTGGACTCTTCGGTAAGTGCGATCATTCATTGCCTGGTTGCTAAGGTCGAAGACCTTGGGCGTAGGAATGATAGAAGTGATCAATGCATCAAGCAGCTCTCCACTGAGGTTAACTCGTGGAGGGCCAAATACGACCAATGCGTCCATGTGAATAGCACGTGTACGCAGGCTGCGAACGCGGCCATGCAGCTGTCACAAGGGACTAAGGACATCGTGACCGAGCTTGGCCAACGCGTCAAGATCGTTTCCAATCGCATGATAAGCATAGGCGATGCCCTAAATGAGCGAGCCAGCTATGATGATGTTGCTCGCTCCATCACCCAAGTTCAAACTGTTTTTGAATCTCTTTCTGATCGAGTAACCGGGCTTATAGCTCGTGTTGATATGATCGAGAGATCTCTAGTGGAGAGCCAATCCAACCATCCTGCGATTGGTGGAGTTAACCTCAAAATCGAGGACCTGTCCACTAGGGTATGTCAGATCGATAGGATGATGCAGGATGTCGAACAATGCTGGACCAATAATAGGGACGGCATAAAGTGGGTTAAAGACCAACTTTATGAAACACAAGCCAACCTTGAGATAAAGTCAAGGGACTGCAAATCCTACACGGACAAGCAGAATACTCATAACATGGCCGTTTCGACTACGCTCAACAGTAAGATCGAGCAAATGCTCGAGGTGCTGGGTAATACGGCCCAGAGAATTAACTCCCTCGAAGTCAAGGCACTCGAACCAGGCATCAAGTAGTGGATTGAACGATCGCACAGGAGGAAGGCGTGCCGCGTCCCGTACTCCGGATAAGCGGCCACCGCCACCTGGCCCTCCTGATGATGATCCTCCATCACCTCCTCCTCCAGATCGGCAAAGCCCAGGAGGAGGGGGGAAGAAGAGTGCTGCCGGTGGAAACCCTGGCGACCCTGGTAAACCCAGGTGTAAATACGTAGGTGATGGAAATAATCACCTCATGGCTGAGTTTCACTGCAAAGGATGCAGAGGTGATATTTGTGAGTATTGTTTCTCGTTCAAAGAGAACTTGTGTGAAGAATGTTCCCGTAACGGACCCCGATGCGGTGTCTGTAGGGAGAGCTCGTTCCTGACCAAGGGAATTGAGTGTCAGTTCTGTAGGACCTACTACTGCACCAGACATTCTGCTGGGCAGGATGACTACAGGAGATTTGGATTTGTCCAGGGTCCCTGTTGTCTTGCGTGCCTTAGGGACGAGACTAGGAGAAGAAGGGATCCCGATGGAAACCGTGTCAGGAATAGGTCGCCTGGAGGCATACCTGAAACGAACCCGACGCGGTCATTCTCGCCGCCTCTGCGGCCACCAGTTGACAGGTTCCGTGACACCCCAACTGGGAGTCAACCCAACGCGGCTGACCTTCAGAGTCCTCCGAAGGCTACGCAATCCGTGCCCCTGGATAAAGGTGAAACCGGATATTATCCAGGATTTGATCCCAACGGTACGAGGCCAAAGGATCCTTCAGGCCTTGAGCCGCCGACCATGCGTGGCCCCGATCCTCCTGACAAGAACTGTCGGATGTGTGATCGGGATATTCCTGACCCCAGCAAAATTGGGGAATGTAAGATATGCATGAAAGGGCATGTGAGATTTGCATTCCGAAGGCTACTCGCCTTTGTCCTGTATGTGCACTGTCAATCAGTAGTTCTCAGGTTCCACAGCATCTTTTCGGAACTGGTGGCGGCGGGTACAGTAGCCACCATGATCCGAACTGTACAGCTGCGACTAAGTGCATTCCCATAGACCTCCCGCCAGAGCCCGACGCGGCT